GCAGTTGCACGCTGCTGCTGCATGCTTTCGCCTCCCGTGCGCTTCACGCTGCCTCTAGTGCAGCCCCCACTTGTTACATTACCTCCCCTCCCTGAAGGCACCGTCCTCGGTGCCAATGAGGCAAGATACACTCCAATGGCACGAGGAGCATGGCTGAGGTTGGAGAATGGCTCCCATGAATCTTCAGGTGCAGATGTGTTGCGCCAGTGAATGAGGTATTCACGGCCAACCGAAGTGTCACGGTGTGAGAGGATGGTGTCGACCTCATGCAGGTCCGGATGGGCAGAGAACATGGGTGGGCGGGGCTGGAATGGGTGAGAGGGAGTACGGTAAGGTCGAAGAAGGTGAACATGGAAAACAGGGTGTATGGTCCGTCTCCGTCACTGATTATGGCTGAGGGCAGTCCGTGTAGCCTCACCACCTCTGTGAAAAACAGCTTGGCAGTTTCAGCAGCAGTCACTGTGCCGGTTGTAGGGATGAAGTGAGCCATCTTGGACAGCTTGTCAATCACCACGAGAATGCTGTCAAAGCCTGTAGGGGTGCGGGGTAAGTCTGTGATAAAATCCAGAGAAACACAAGTCCAGGGGGCTGTGGGTATCTCCAATGGTTGCAACAGACCAGCCGGTGCAGTGGTGCGAGCCTTGTTGACCTGACAGGTAGGACATGAAGAAACATACTCTGCTACACTCCGGGACAGTCCAGGCCAGTAGTAGTCACGAGAAATGGCAGCATACGTCTTGTCACTGCCGAAGTGTGACCGATTGTCATGGTACTCGTGTAGTAGCAGCTGGCGAAGCCTGGAGTCATCAGGTACACACACAGCACCAGAATCTGCACGGGTCCAAAAGGGATTGCTGAAAAGAAAGGATGGGTCATGGGGGGCTTTCTGTTGGTACAGCTGATCACGGTTGTAACCACGGCTGAAACGAGTGATGAAGTTGCGGTCCCATGTAACCACTCCCATGACATTCAGCTCCTCTGCTGCTGGCCGTGACAGAACATCCACCGGATTGAAGCGCCCTGGTTTGTACACAATCTGAAGATTGGGAACGTACTGCTCCAAAAACTGAACCCACCGCGCCTGCCTTGGTGTGATCTGTGACTGTGTTTTCGGGTACTCCAGTGTTCGGTGATCAGTGAAGACTGTAACGGGCTGCATCTCCACATAACAGCGCCACTTCTTCAGTGCATGCACCACAGCAAGTGCCTCTCTCTCGTGAATGGGGTATGTGCGCTCTGCAGCAGTGAGCTTGCGTGACTCAAAGGCTATTGGCTGCAGCCCAGCTTCCTGCTCCTGGCAGAGAATTGCTCCAAGAGCAACGTCTGATGCATCACACCAAATGAAGTATGGGAGTTCTGGATTCGGTACTGCTAGGGCAGGGGGTGAAGTAAGAGAAGTTTTGAGCAGCTCAAAAGCCTGCTGCTGCGATGGTCCCCAACTGAATGATGAGTCCTTCCGTAAGAGATCGGTCAGAGGTGCTGCCACTGCTGCAAATCCCTTCACAAACCGCCGGTAGTAGTTAGCTAACCCCAAGAAAGCCTGCACCTCCTTCGCTGTACTCGGCTGCTTCCACTCCTTCAGGACTGCTACCTTGCTGTTGTCTAATTCCAGCTTCCCATGCGAAATGACAACTTGAAGTGTGATGGGCAAGTGGAACAAGCTCACGGCACTTAGGCTTGTTCAAGTTGTTTCTGGCTGAGAATTCTTCCCAAGAGAATTTCCTTAGAAGCAAGGAAGAACAAACAGAAAGAGAAACAGCAACTACTCTCTAATTCCTACGAATGCATTTTTATATGTACAGTACATTTACAATTCAGACATGCGGCTCAGAATGTCGATTCGGGTGGCCAGCCCTAACATCGAGCCGCATTCCATATTTCTACTCACGTTTGTACACCTCACTGCACCCACACACGTGTTACATTTCTATTCCTCCAAGTCTAGACTTTCGCCACCTGTCCCACGCGGAAGTCCCCCCAAGTCAGTCAAGGCACGAAACCTCAGTTTCGCCCTTCTCACGTGGGTCCCCCACGTCCTGCTCACTTCCGCCCCTTTGCTGCCCACGTTCGCAGTTGCATGCTGCTGCTGCATGCTTTCGCCTCCCGTGCGCTTCACGCTGCCTCTAGTGCAGCCCCCACTTGTTACAGCAAGCACGCGTAAATTGAGAGGGATTAGGGAATATCGGGGAGATTTCTATCATGTTGCAAAACGACTTGCATGCTGCTGCATTCTCAAGGTCAAGTTGTCTGCTCAAGCTGCTAAGGATCATGTGTTGGATGAGAATCACGAATCTAAAGAATCATGGATCGTGCCAAATGGCACATCCGGTGTGCCCCTTGGCTTTGATAATCCGCTGCCATGCCACGATTGGTGCCACTGAGACTATCTTGTGCATGAGGTTTTGATAACTGGAGCGGCATGAGCTTGAACAGCGAGACACGGGAAACATATCAGGGCACAAAGAAGGGGGGCATAGCAGCTGCTGCAGTTTTCTCCTGCTACTCTCTTCAGAGGAAAATTGGTGACCAACCCCTACGAGTGCTGGACAAGTTTGAGGCTGAAACCTGAGCAGATTGAAACTGCTCTACACCCATACCTAAGCAAAGATAGAGGCTGAATCCACTCTACACACATTTCGACAGGCAAGAAGGCCATGGACAAGGCAAGGAAGGCAAGGTGTCGGCAGGTTCCAGCCACATCTGAAATGTGCCAACTGTGTGAAGGAAGCCCCAGCGGGCAGGATAAACTCTTTAAGAACTTGATCTTAAACCTCCATAGAAAACTGCGAGGGCAAGGTAGTATCTGCTACCTAGGCCCTCTAGCTACGCCGGTTACGACCGAAGGTGTCTTTGCGTTGTATGATGCACTGTCACCTACAAAAAGAATAATAAAAAGCTTGAACAGACTTTGTTGGTACGTTATTTCTGTTGGTGTTTCCACTGCTTCGCACTGCCCGTGACACGATCACAGCTGAGCTGAAATGTGCTCCGCGTCATCGTGGTGACACCTGAGTGTTCCTGCTGGAATGCTCCTGCTAACGTCACCAAGACTACATAAGACATGAAAGCTATCAGGGCAATAAATACATGAGAGAGGGTGGGGGTCGAGGGCAGGGGGGGCGCCTCGGGGGACCAACTGAACGCCAACTTTAAGTTCGTCTAGTACTAGAACTAACCTTGGGAGGCTGCAAACGGGACACAGCGGATGGGAGAAACCACAGCGAGAAACGTCAGAAAGAAGAGTAAGCGGAGTCGAATGATGCGTCCCGCGCCTTCCGTTGCCATCGTGGTGCGGCAAGCTTCCACTAAACCCTGAATTAGTAGTAATTTTAATCGCTTGTGAATCTGTGCGTAATCAGTAGCAGTGGTTCTAAGCGTCAATAGAAACGCGTAAATACTTGTGGACGGTAAATAAAGAAACTACTGTATGATGAGAGCCTACTCGTAGAACCTGGAGTGCAGACGACATCAATTTATGATGAGGAATCCATGAAAGCTAGCTTGAAATGAAGCTAGAGGAAAAGAGAGGGGCAGGAGGAGGTGAGGGTTGGGGATGAAAGTCCACTTTCTTGCCAAGATCGCTTTGCAATTTCCCACGTGCCTGCGACAGGCCAACATAGCTGACGAGCGTCAAATTCGCGAGTTGCGGCAAATGCGAAAATATCGTCAAGTTGCCCTGCTCTGGCGAATTCCAAAGCGATACGAGTTTCGGTGGTGGCGTTTTATGCCAACAGGGCGCGTCGAGCCACCGAAAATCTCGCCAGGTGTGCGAGTCAGAAAGATAGGACAGCGCTCCCTGTTTGACGAACACGACCTCTTCATTCGCTCGCGCAATAACGGAGCGAAACAAACAAAACCCACACGACTACTACAGCAAATGACGAATGATTCTTCCAGCATACCTTAAGCCTACAAACATGTTTGGAAAATCGAAATATGGTATAAGCGACCCGCGGCTGGTGACATGGTGAGCTCGCCGCTCATTCCGCGACCTACCTTATCGCGGCCTAGAACTGTAAAGTGGTCACTAGGCTAGTGATAAGGTAGATTTGACATACAGTTGACGGTTCAACAGAATGGGCCTCTAATAGCCATGATTGCTTCATCTGCCCTTCTTCCGTAACTTCTCTGATGTAATTTCGAAGGATAGTCGAAACCGGAACGTCACTTTGCTGAGTCATTTGGATACCGTATGAGCTGACTTAGCAATAGCACTAGTAACACTGCTCACCGCAATCCCTAATGTTTTCCATGCGATGGCAAGTCGAGCGAGGGTCACGTGCGTCGCTAGCTGCTCCGTGAGCGCCGAGAAATTCCGAATGGCCTACCAGTTGTAGCGCCACGCGTATTGAGAGAGGCGGCGTCACGAGCATCGCAGGCATCGCAGCGAGTCGAATGGCGTCAATTGACGATCAACGGAACCGTCAGCTTGCCTTTGCTGAGAATTTTCGAGTCATAATCGTTTCGATGCTGCTTGGGGGGATTGTGTTCCCCCCTCTTTGCTCCTCTTCCCATGCATGTTCCCCCTGCTTTGCACCAACGTTTGCTGTTTCATTCTGTGCTTTGTTGTGCGTTCCATTTCTTATGTACCCTGCTCTCCTCCTCCCCCTCCCCTTCTCCCTATTTCCCCTTTCTTTCCCCTCCAATCCACCTGCCTTCCCGCCTCCTCATTTCTTCTCCCCACTCCCTCCCCCCTCCTTCATGCGACCTGCCATCCTCTCACGGGCCACGACAACCTGCTGGAGAGGATGGCAGGATTGCAGGATGGCAGGGCGACAGGGCGGCAGCCATGCACCACTCGCGTTTGCAGTGGGTCCGCGCAGCCATGTCGATCAGAAAACCATGTCGTCGCCTTAGCAACTGACCAGACGACCTTAGCGTTCTGTCAAGTGGCCGTCGGCATTGCCTTCCTCATCGTCACTTTCAGCACTGGTGGGAGAATTGACTTCTCCCGACCTCCTCCTCTCCCCTGCTCTTCAAGGAAGCGCGTTCTCCCGCGGTTAGATGACTGACGCCTTCCTCGAGGTGGGTGAGAGGGTTAGGGAGAGGTGGGCGCGGGAGAGGGGAGTTGTGGGTGCGGGGATAGGGCTGGGGGGTAGTTGGGAAGGGGCTGGGAGATGGTTAGTCGTGGAGGGGGGTGGGGGTGGGGATGGGGGAGGGGGGGGAGGGGGGGGGGGTGAGGGGGCATGGAGAACGAAAGAGGGTGTTCCCGCGACGAGATCGGACGGCTTCCTCGAGGTGCGGGAAAGGGGCGGGGAAGGGGTGGGCGTGGGGGAGGGGAGATGTGGGGGCAGGGAGAGGGCTGGTGGCTGGGAGTGGGCTAGGAGAGGGGAGAGGGGGGGAACAAGAGGGGAGGGGGAGAGTAGGGAGAGGGGTGGAAGGCATGGACAAAGAAATCGGGTGCGTTCGCAACAAGATTGCAGACGCATTCCTCGAGGTGCGCCGCGGGAGAGGGGGGGAAGAAGGGGGGGGGGGAGGTGGGAGTGTTGGGTTGGTTGGTGATGAAAGTGAGAGGGTTGTGCAGCGAGGAGAAATGAGTGACGACGGGGATTGCTAGCAGTCGTTTTTCGCTCGAGTCCCAACCCAACCCCTCTCACTTCTCCACTCTCCGCCACCCGTGCTACATTTATCGCTCAAGTGTGCACACATTGTGCGACATCCCCAAACCTTGGTCTCCCTGCCTGTTCCCCTCTGCGCCATTCCCACTCTTTCCGCCTTCCTGAAGGTGCACCGGGGAAGATGTGTGAGGACTTGTGCCAGCAGTAGCAGACGGCATGTTGCTGCGCAAGCTTGGTTTGGGTTGTCTCAAAGCAACCAGGCCTTTTCTCTCCCCTCTGTGCCTGACAACCTCCGTCACCCTGCCCCTCCGTGTTCCCGTCTCCCCCCCCGCTGCAGGTGTGTGTGTGAGTGTGTGTGTGAGGGCTGTGTGCCAGCAGACTGCATGGTGTTGTGCAAGCTGGTGTCGAGTCGTCCCCTCCTCCCCCCCCCCCCCCCCCCCCCCCCCCCCCCCCCCCTCTTCTGCCCCCTTTCACCCCCGCCAAGTGTGTGAGGAGGACCATATACCAGCAGTAGCAGATCGCATGGTGCTGCGCAAGCTGGTTCCAAGTTGACCCCTCCTCCCACCTCTTCCCCCTTTCTCCCCCCGCCAGGTGTGTGAGGACGTGTACCAGCAGACCGCATCATGGTGCTGCGTAAGCTCGCGCAGGACATGCGCGAGTGGATACACCGGCGGGTGAGCCATGGGATAAGGGGTGATTGTTATGGGATGGTGCCGGTAAGCAATGGGGGGGCCCGCGAGGAGGGGAGAAGGGGGATTAGAAAAGACGGAGGGATAGAGGGTGCTGGCACAGGACATGCGCGAGTGGCCGGCCTGCGGGTGGGCGAGAGGGGCAGAGAAGGGGGGGAGGGAATACGGGGGATATGGAAGGGTTAAGAGGCGATGGGGGGAAGAAGATGGCAAGGGTTCAGGAACGTGAGGTCTATGAAGCAGGATGTAGGGGCTCTCTCCTCTGCTCTTTGTCACCCCATTCTTCCCCTAACCCTCCCCCCCTCCCCCTGCACGCCTCTTTCCAACGCCTCTTCCCCACTCCTCTTGCCCACACCACTCCACCACACCTACTCCCCACTCCCTCTCTCCTACCCCTCTCCCCCACGCCTTTCCCCCACGCATTTCCCTCACCCCTCTCTCCCACCTCTTTCCCCCATGCATTTTCCTCACCCCCCTCTCCCCCCCCACCCCTTTCCCCCACGCACTTTGCTCACCCCATTCCCCCACCCACCCCCTTCCCCCACGCATTTTTCTCACCCCTCTCCCCCACCTCTTTCCCCCATGCATTTTCCTCACCCCCCTCTCCCCCCCCATCCCTTTCCCCCTCGCATTTTGCTCACCCCTTTCCCCCACGCAATTTCCTCACCCCTCTCCCCGTTCAAGAGGATGCTGATTTAAGAGTGAAGGTTGGAGAGTGCAGGAGGGTCTTGCTGCTGTAGTACAAAAGCCTGCCAGAAGTCTTGGGTTCCTATTGGGCTGCCAAGCACTTTGACGCCTCTATCGCCTAGAGGCGGGAGGCTGGTGATGTTGGCAGCCCCTCCGGCCGAGACCCAGTGGGTCACTTTGGCGGACACTTTTGGAGCTGAGAAGGGTGTGTGCAGGGTTCTGGCGCAGGAGCAAGTGGGGAGGGCTGCCTGTACGTGTTGATGATGTACGGTGAGGAACCTTGGAGAGCTAAGTTCCGTTGGGGTCTCCAATATGCCATGCGCCCAACGGAGTCTACAGGTTACCCGCAGCTGCTCGTCTCTGTTGCTGGTCTGTGTGTGCCCGTCGCACCCAGCTCGCCAAGAAGACCTCTTTCTCTCAGAGCTCGAGGAAGGGCCCGCATGGTTCGGGCTCACACCATGATCACATCACATAACCACCTCAGTACCCCATGATCTCATCACCCCAAGATCGCATCTACCCCATGGCAGAGCACCGTGGCAGGGTGCACTAGGTGTGCTGAGTGCAGCCGTCACTCTCCCTTCCCCTTACACTTTCCCATTTCCACCCCTTTCTCCCTTTCCCTCATGTAGCCCCTCCGATTCTCCATCCCGATTGCCATCCGCACCTCTCCAGGTGAACACAGTGCAGCAAGCAGCGTCCATCACACTGCTCCAATCCGCCTATCCTGCATTACCTCATTGCTCTCTCTTGCTCCCTCTCACCACGCTTCTCCCCTATCACCCACCAGTGTGCATAGTCCTCCCAGTAGCATCCACCCCCTGCCGTCTCTACACCCACACATTGATCAGCAAGCCCTCATCTCTACACTGAGGTGAGTAGTGCGTTGTATCGTACCTGCTTCTACCGAAACGGGTCTCTCCTCTAATTTGTGATCTGGCTTGCTGCCACTGCCATTGGCAACTCATCATCTCTTGTGTCCACCCATCAATTTGGAGGAGTCAGTCTCATGATCTTATTGCTTCATCACACGTTCACCCCATCCACACAGCACCATCCCCATTACCCCATCAACCAATCAGACCATCACCTCTTCACCCAACCAGCTCTTTGCCTCATCATCCCATCACCCCATCCCATGATTGGTGGGGCGCATGGTGCAGGCCGGTGGTACGGGTTGGTGGTTTGCCGTCCACAAAAGTGAGGAGCTGCCCTTGATCTCCCCTACCTTTCCATTTTCCCTTCAATCCCAAACAGTCCCTATTTTGCAGGCGCAGAGCCAACATCGCCAGCGTTAGAGCAGTGAGCTGTCTCAACAGTGGACTGGCTCATTCCAATTGGGCGCCTTTCCACCAGGCACTGAGCTCTGCTAGTTCTCAGCCTTCATCCTCCCTGCCTGCCCTGCCTTCCCTTCCTTCCCTTACCACCCTCGACCACCATTACCAACCCCTACTCTGCAGGCAGTACCCAGCAGGTGCAAGGCCAAGATCCCCACTCTCATCACCGTCGCCTTCATTGAAACCTTGGGGACCTCTGGCACTTGGCTTTGCCTCGTCCCAGCCTTCGCCATCCTCGCCCTCGCAATAGAGAGCAGCTCATTGCTCAACGATGTTGATTTCTGATTTCCGCGATTTGTCATTGCGTGGATGCTGCTGAATGGAAGTCTGCTGCTGCTGCTCTCCAAGGGTGGCGGCATGATTTTGTCCTTCCTTGCCCATTGATCCCCATTTTGAGAGTGTCAAGTCGTTCTACTTCTAAACAGCAGCCGGCTAGTTATGTTGCCCAGGAGTGACGGCATGTTCCTGTTATTATTACCCACGGATCTCTCCGACATTTGACCATCTGGCATCAATGCAAGAACTTCTCTTTGGTGTACCGATGCAGGGAGGGGAAACAGATGAAGGTGAAATGGAACACAACTAGAGGGGATGGATCCTCGCCTGACTGCCTCCCACCGACGCCACCACCAACCCCACCAGCAACCAAGGGGAAAGGGTGGACTCGTTTGCAGCGGACCTGGCTATATGCATTTGGTCAATCTGAAAAGCACTTAATATAATTGGTAACTTCATTCAAACTAGCCCAATTTAGCATATTTGGCAAGTAAGCAGTGCAGATATAACTTGGGACAAACAGAGAAAAAAGGTTACCACTTTTTGAACTTAAAAAGGTCATCTTTAGACCAGGGGGACTCACTTTCCGGTTATATCCAGAAAAACAGCCGCATCTTGTCTAGGTTGCGGAACCTGCCATTCTGATTTGATCAACGGAACTCATGCTGGTGGATAGCAGCACATGTGAGGATAAGCTGGAGTCTGGGGTGCCGCGGTGAGAGAGAGGATACGCGGGGGAGCGATGATACGCTAGGGGGGCGGACGAGTAGAGCGAGGCGGGGTGGTGCAGCAGCTAAAGTTGCTCGGAGGGCCTGCCCGGGTGGTGAGGGAGGAGCTCATCAGTGAACTTTTGCACCCGATGGCCTTCAGATGACTTTTGAGTCGACTCAAAAGGCAGCTAGAGTTGGTCCGAGGGCCTGCCCCCGGGTGGTGAGGGAGGAGCTCATCACTGAGCGCGTGCACCCGATGGCCTTCAGACTCATGTGCCTTGTTGCGCGACAGCCTGCCACACAGCACACACACGCACACGCATGCACACACACGCACGCGCGCACGAGCGCACACGCGCACACACAGACACACGCGCACGCACGCACGCACGCACTCGTACACACACACACACAAACAACCCCCCCCCCCCCCCCCCCCACTCCCCCCTCCCCCTCCCCCTCCCCCTCTCCCCCCCCCCCTCCCACACCCACACCCACCCACCATGCAGAAGGCGAGGATGCCCCCCACGGGCATGACGGCGAGGGTCCAGAGGGCGTGAGGCCACGTGTCGAAGTAGGGCAAGGAGGCGAGCGAGGACCACGGCTCGTGCAGCAGCGAGAAGATGCCGCACACAAGCGCCATCACGGGCGCCAGATACTGCAGCAACGTGAGCAGCGGGTTGGTCAGGCCTGTTGGGGTAGAGGGAGGGCGGACTTGCGGTTGGTGGGAGGCAAGGGGAACTAGGAGGACTGGAAAGGAGATAGTGGCATGAGGATGGCGTGACCATAGCAAATATGCGAGGAAGGGTGAGAAACCGGAGGATTGTGGCGTGTGGGAGAGCAAGCACAGCACACAGGCACTGTGGAGCTGGGGCTGCACCCGGAAATATGAGGTGAGTGAGGAGGAAGGGGCAACGCGACAGATGCTTACCAAGTGTGTCCCTCTGTCACCAGTAGAAGCGACGACAGCATGGTGAGATGGTGAGTAGATGTTGTGAGCGTAAAGGGTAAACAGGAGACGAAAAGAGTGGGTTAGTTGGTTGATGCAGCAGCACACATAGCAGCACAGCAGCAGCACAGCAGCACACAGTAGCACAGCAGCACACAGCAGCATACACAGCAGCAGTGAGCAGCAGCTTACCTGGAGGAGCACTTGCAGCAGCACCCATCGGAGACCCGCCATGAATGAGGCCAGCATGACGAAGATGAAGCCCAGCAGCTCAAACTCCGTCTCCCCCACCACTGGGAGCACCACACGCCACTCGAGGGCACACCACACGGAATGTCAAAAGCGCGAATTAAGTCAAAGAACTCTGCTCGACGCCCATGTATAAATCAGGCGTTGCGTTGCAATGCTGATTGGGGGGTGGAGCGCACGGAAATGGTAGTGATACAAGAGGAAAACTGAGGCACGGTAGAAAAAAATGTTGGATGGTCATCGAATTACCCTCCCAGCCCCCTCCCCCTTCCGTTCTCCCTTCCGTTCCCCCTCGCCCCCCCCTCCCCAACCTATGCCGAGCACGCCGACGGAGATGATGAGCCTGGTGCCCACCCATGCTTCTACTCTATGCATCGCAACGTGCTGTGTGTGTGGAGCGCACCCAAGTTTGAGTGCCACACTGGACCTTTTCTGCAACGGATAAGATATCACAAACACTTTTGAGTACACCCACGCTTGAGCAAACCCCCGTAAGCGGATCATTTTGACCAAGGAGACTGCAGTGAATGAAGCGGATAAGATATCGCCCAGTGACGACGAGGGAGAATAAGGGCAGGACAGCGTACCATGGAGTAGAAGGTCCGGGTGACGAGCGCGAGGGAGAAGCTGGAGAGGGCAATGTCAAGCGATGTGGCCACTGCCGTGGGCACCACTGCATGCACGGGGCAGAGCACACAGGGCACAGGCCAACACACGTTTAAACAACTAAGCATCTATTAGAAAGCCGCCTGAACCGAACCAGCCTCAATGGACAAGTTGCAGAACGTGCAAGCACGAGTTCCTGAGCGCGCCCATCCCCATTCTCAATCCCTCCCTCCCACCCACACGGCGAACCTCGCACGAAGTAGTCGCGCCAGGAGATGGGGGAGGCGGGCAGCCACGAGTGGCAGCAGAGGTGACTTTTGAGGCTACTCAAAAGTCAGTTGACTAGAAACACTTTTGAGTCAACTCATCAAGTTACCTCGCACCACGTGACCGATCAGTACCTTGTTGTACCTGCCCACCCACCCACGGCCACCACCGCCCCGCCACCCACCCACCCACCCATCCATTCACCACCGCCCCGCCCGTGCGTACATGCATGGCGATGCGATAGTGCAATGCATAGCGGGAGTGCACAGGTACAGCAGGGGGCGATAAAGGGTTGCTTGCAAGGGGAGATAGGAACGGGCGAAAGGGCCCTTTAGATGGATGGCCAGCCCAGTGAGCAATTTGATCACGCCCTGGGGGAGTGGCAACTACAGGGAGGGTGGCTACACAGGAAAAGCGACATGCTTACAGGGAGCGCGGCATGCTACAGCGCCATGCTTAGAGCAGCATGCTTACAGGGAGCGCGGCATGCTACAGCGCCATGCTTAGAGCAGCATGCTTACAGGGAGCGCGGCATGCTACAGCGCCATGCTTAGAGCAGCATGCTTACAGGAAGCGCGGCATGCTACAGCGCCATGCTTAGAGCAGCATGCTTACAGG